ATGACTTGGCCGACTTCGGCCTGGTAATTGGTTGCCTGTTCGTGACCTTTGCCACACATACGGAGCTTGTTTGCTTTGTGAAGCCAATAGATCGGTGTGCGCCCATTCCTGATTGATAAATACCCGATCTGCAGCGACAGAGAATGACAGGTGGCGAGGCACTGATGAACTTCGGTTCGATGAAGTGCTTATGACCCATCTGGTAGGCCTCAGTGGTGGACCGACTGCGCCAGGTGCGTCTGTGCGCATGTTTGTGTTTCTGGTCTCAGCTGCTGGTGGTCAGGGTTATGATTGGCTGAATGAAGGCAGAATAAGCCCGAAACAGTGCTGTATCAATCTACCCGCATTCTCTGTCGTCCCTCCTCGCTGCTATTATGACTTGGCCGACTTCGGCCTGGTAATTGGTTGCCTGTTCGTGACCTTTGCCACACATACGGAGCTTGTTTGCTTTGTGAAGCCAATAGATCGGTGTGCGCCCATTCCTGATTGATAAATACCCGATCTGCAGCGACAGAGAATGACAGGTGGCGAGGCACTGATGAACTTCGGTTCGATGAAGTGCTTATGACCCATCTGGTAGGCCTCAGTGGTGGACCGACTGCGCCAGGTGCGTCTGTGCGCATGTTTGTGTTTCTGGTCTCAGCTGCTGGTGGTCAGGGTTATGATTGGCTGAATGAAGGCAGAATAAGCCCGAAACAGTGCTGTATCAATCTACCCGCATTCTCTGTCGTCCCTCCTCGCTGCTATTATGACTTGGCCGACTTCGGCCTGGTAATTGGTTGCCTGTTCGTGACCTTTGCCACACATACGGAGCTTGTTTGCTTTGTGAAGCCAATAGATCGGTGTGCGCCCATTCCTGATTGATAAATACCCGATCTGCAGCGACAGAGAATGACAGGTGGCGAGGCACTGATGAACTTCGGTTCGATGAAGTGCTTATGACCCATCTGGTAGGCCTCAGTGGTGGACCGACTGCGCCAGGTGCGTCTGTGCGCATGTTTCTGTTTCTGGTCCCAGCTGCTGATGGTCAGGGTTATGATTAGCTGAATGAAGGCAGAATAAGCCCGAAACAGTGCTGTATCAATCTACCCGCATTCTCTGTCGTCCCTCCTCGCTGCTATTATGACTTGGCCGACTTCGGCCTGGTAATTGGTTGCCTGTTCGTGACCTTTGCCACACATACGGAGCTTGTTTGCTTTGTGAAGCCAATAGATCGGTGTGCGCCCATTCCTGATTGATAAATACCCGATCTGCAGCGACAGAGAATGACAGGTGGCGAGGCACTGATGAACTTCGGTTCGATGAAGTGCTTATGACCCATCTGGTAGGCCTCAGTGGTGGACCGACTGCGCCAGGTGCGTCTGTGCGCATGTTTCTGTTTCTGGTCCCAGCTGCTGATGGTCAGGGTTATGATTGGCTGAATGAAGGCAGAATAAGCCCGAAACAGTGCTGTATCAATCTACCCGCATTCTCTGTCGTCCCTCGTCGCTG